TCCCACAGATAAAACTCTAGCTACTGGATGACAGATTCCCGAACTGTCTGTTGGATTAGGTGTCTAAGCCCATAACTATAATAGGTGTGTACTTAACCTGATAGTAGCATGGTCCTTTTGGGTTGCCTTCACCAGAACAATCTGATAGGATGGATATTTGAGAACGAGGTTAGTTATGATTCATTAATATATTATAAGTATAATATATTAATTGGGAAATCATATTATTTAATTAGTATTGATCAAGAATTAATTTTGAATTAATTTAATGATCAAAAGAGACTAATTAAATTAACGGGGACTAATTATGCAAATTAGTGATACATGTGGTTTGGGCTATTGATCCATGATGACTTAAGTTTATGTGAAAGTCCATGAAGAGTTAGTCCACATGAGTTATGGATCATAAGCCTAAGTGTAAGAATTAGGGTTACATATGACTCTTGGAATTCTAATACTATATATGTAACCCCTTAGGCCCGAAAATCGGATGCATGTGTGACATAGCAAGGGTATAGCCTATTTTAGGGTGCTCCTAACCTCTCTCTCAAGTTCTCTAATTTTTGGTGGTGTTTGTGACTTATTAGAGGCATCACACTTGAGGTGCTAAGCTCTTGAAATGCCAAATTCAACAAGCTACAACAAGAGGTAATCTTCTAACTAGTTTTATGATTCATATATCACGTTGCATGCTAGTTAGGCTTCAAGCTTTGGAAAAATTGTTTATTGCATGTATAACTAGAGAAAACTTAGATTCAAAGCATTAGGGTTGTATGTGCACCATAGAGATATTATAGTGCTCAAAACCCATCACTGTCAACATCAAAACAACACCCAATTAATAATTGGGTTCCAATACATAACCATACGTCCACGCTTGGGGTAAAAGACTACTTTACCCCCATTCTAGCTTGATTCAAGCCCAAGGCCCAAACTCACACTCCGAAGGCCCAAAAGCCAAACAATAAACCAAGGCCCAACATATGGCCCAATCTTCCAAATTGGGCCCAAACCCCTCACATGGGCCTTACCCTAAAGCCCATCCAAATTTCCTAGTCTATATACTTGTTATTAAATGGCCCAACAAGAATCCAAACATCTAAGCCCAACAGAAAGGCCTAACTCAAAACCCAACACAATTAAGGTTTTCACATAAAATGACGATTATGGTTAATTAAATACACTTTACCCATTAAGAACTCAATCCATTAAGTCCATCATTCTACTAGGTAAATCACACAATGTGGTCGGGTTTAATTCCTAATTCCAATCCAAAGGTCCAGAATGTGGGTCCCGACAATTCCAAAACTAACATATCCAAAATTAGGGTTTTCTAAACCATAACTAGGGTTTCCAACCCAATCGCGTTCCAATTAGTCCATTGGTTAAGTTTTCAGGTTTATTAATGTTAAATAAGTTAGGCACCACCCACTACCACCTCGGGTAGTGGTGGTCAACGGCGGCTCACGGCGACGGCCACCACCTCACGGCGGTGGCGGTGGCGATTTTTGCCAAGAATTCATGTGTTAAACCCTACACGAACAATCCCATGCCAAAACACACACACACACACATATATGCACACAACCACCTAACATAGTGGTTGGCGGTGGCAGGACGACGACATGTGGTGGTGGTGGTTTTTCCTTTGATTTCCGGTCAAGCAACACCCAAGAACAACTTCAACTGAATAAATACACACATAAACACCATTTCACACATACACAACCACCTCTCACGGTGGCTGGTGGCGACAGAATAAGGTAGCATGGCGGAAACCACCATGGTTGGCTGCCATGGTGGTTATTCACGTTTTCCGACCACCTAAACACTCTCACACCCACGACATAGATTGAAACTAACACCCACAAGTCGGAAGTCACACGCCAACGGAGCAACAACCTCGCCGTCGGAGGAAGGCGGTGGCCGGAGAACCCACAATTGAGAAACAACAAGAAGAGGCGGTGGCGGTCTGGTGACAACGCAACAATAGAAGAACGGGGAAGAAAATGAGGTCGCCACCCCGACTGGCGAACGACAGTAGCGACAAATCACAACTTGATTCTTCTAATCGCCTACTGCCCCGACGTCCAAGGGCAGCCTTCGTCTTCAATGGAAGTGAATGCAGCGGTGTTTGTTCGGTGGAGACAAGGAGTGACGGTGGTGTAAGAAACAGCGTGAAGGTGGCTTTTCCTTTGATTTCCGGTCAAGCAACACCCAAGAACAACTTCAACTGAATAAATACACACATACACAGCCACCTCTCACGGTGGCTGGTGGCGACAGAATAAGGTAGCATGGCGGAAACCACCATGGTTGGCTGCCATGGTGGTTATTCACGTTTTCCGACCACCTAAACACACTCACACCCACGACATAGATTGAAACTAACACCCACAAGTCGGAAGTCACACGCCAACGGAGCAACAACCTCGCCGTCGGAGGAAGGCGGTGGCCGGAGAACCCACAATTGAGAAACAGCAAGAAGAGGCGGTGGCGGTCTGGTGACAACGCAACAATAGAAGAACGGGGAAGAAAATGAGGTCGCCACCCCGACTGGCGAACGACAGTAGCGACAAATCACAACTTGATTCTTCTAATCGCCTACTGCCCCGACGTCCAAGGGCAGCCTTCGTCTTCAATGGAAGTGAATGCAGCGGTGTTTGTTCGGTGGAGACAAGGAGTGACGGTGGTGTAAGAAACAGCGTGAAGGTGGCCACTGAGAAGACTCCGGAAACATGGTGGCGGCTGAAGGATGCGGATAGGGTTAGGGTTAGTTGCATCTGTTCAATGAGAGGAGGAAGGTAATCGGGTTTATCCCGTGACTCCCATACAAACTACATGCGAAATTGACACAACTGGTCCCTCCCACTCACAATCTTTTCAAAACAAATCCATAAGTTACCATTCAACCCTCAGCATTCCAAAATCCTTTCAATTTATGTCCAATATTTACCAAACACCCCCTGACTTCTGAAAATCTTTACAGAACCAATTCGAAACTTACACTTTTAACCCCCAAAAATCCAAATTATATCATTTAACTCCCTGAAACCAACACCCTGCTAAATATTAAGGATTTAGGGTTGCAATAAAATAATATGATTTACACTTCGGGGTTAAGAGTTTATTATTTATTTACGTATTTAATTAAATTTCAAACGAAATGTTACGATTTTCCCCCACTTAAATTAGATTTCGTCCTCGAAATCATTCATTGCCATCCTCGACGCACCAAATAGCCTTAGCAACATGGCCACAGTCCCGAGCAAACCACAGCCTTCCTAAGCCAAGTGAAACCATCCCTCGCAGACTCTCCAATCCGAAGATAAACAAATTTCTTGCAACATAAACACATTTACTCAATCTGAAATCTGCAGTCTCGAGATGGTCTGGCTCCCTGACAGACCGCCCATACCGAATCATTATTGTTGAATCCAGTCCACTTATCTCCCAACTAACTATTCAATTTCTGATAACTGGAAGTTCCCACTAGAAAACAGTATCACAGACTAAATGTCACTGCAGAACACTTATACTTGACAGAAGGCTCAGATAATCCTTCGAGTAGAAGGTTCATCCCTGTAGCGGTTAGACTCAAACGAGAGCTGCGCAACAGGGTCAAATCAATTACTCTGAGATTATTTAATCCAAACTGCAAGTGACTTAGCACTTTCGATCAACAAGCTACCCCACACACAAGAATCCTCGAATCACTACTTTCGCCCGAAACATCATGCTGCCTCTTATCTACTTTCCAGAAGAAACGAGACCTCTCTGGTCCCAACTTATCCGCCAGCTATCTGGAATACTGGATTCCCGCCCGGTTGCTGAGTCAATAACATAAGTTACCATTCAGCCCTCACCATTCCAAAATCCTTTCAATTTAAGTCCAATGATTACTTAACACCCCCTGACTTCTGAAAATCTTTGCAGAACCAATTCGAAACTTACACTTTTAACCCCCAAAAATCCAAATTATATCATTTAACTCCCAGAAACCAACACCCCGCTAGATATTAAGGATTTAGGGTTACAATAAAATAATATGATTTACACTGCGGGGTTAAGAGTTTATTATTTATTTACTTATTTAATTAAATTTCAAACAGAATGTTACAAATGTATGCAAATCTATGATTAATGTTTATTATTTATATATTATATATGTTATTTTACTTTGTCAATCGTGGATTCCATAGGTTATAACTTAGTGTAATATTTATATATGTGTTTTTATTGATTAAATCAAAGGAAAAAATGCAGAAAACCCAACCATTTATTTACCGGCATTCAAAAAAACCCTTATATTTTGTTTATAAGTAGAAAAACACTTATATTTTCATTAACCTTTCATATTTACCAAAATATTCATTTTTTTAAGAAGTTACCGGTTGTTTTGTGTTATATCATTTATCTTTTTTGTTTTTTATGTTGACATGGAAAAACAAATAAGTGTCGTCACTTATTTTTGTTTGATTAAATAGTCTATTTCTCACGATTTACCTTAGACAAGAGATAATGTCACTTATTTTGTTTTCATGTTAACCTAAAAAAAAAAAAAAAAGACAAATGTTATATCACAAAACAACCGATAATTTCTAAATAAAAAAATAAAAAAATAAAAAAAAACCTTGAATATTTAAGTTAATGTGAAAGGTAACTAAAAATATAAATGTTTTTCTGCATATAAACAAATTGTTAGGGTTTTTCTGAATATTGATAGATATATAGTTATGCTTTTCTACATTTTACCCACAATCAAAATATTGGGAGTCAAATTACAAAATTGAACTCTTTAAAAATATATATTTTGGGAATTGCTTACTTCCCGTGGGTAATCAGGATCGGTCCTGAGGAATTCAATATCCTTAAAGGCCCAGGACGAGCCAGAAAAAAAGACCCTTATCGTTAGTATAAGTTTTTATTTTTTAATAAAAATATATAATAAAAAAATTGGGCCATGTGCAGCTGTCCACTTTGTCCCCCTCAACGCCCCCATGAGTGGGTTCATTACAATGTTGCAAGAGGGGATCCCGCTTTGGTCAAATAAGATACGAGATCAACCCCCAGGTCATCAAACAGATAGATGAATGATGAATGGGTGTGACGTTTAACATCATTTCACTACTAGAAAACTGATGTAATAGCTACAGTACAATCCATAGCTATAAGTAAATAGCTACAGAATTGCTACGGAAAAATGCCTATAGCATAATGGCCCATGGGAAAATTATAGCTACGGATTAGCTACGGAATCGCCACGAAATAGCTACAGAACTTTCCGTAGCTAAAATAGCTACAAAATAGCTACGGAAATAAGTAGCTACAGATTTCCTACAGAATAGCTACGGAAATGGATACCTACGGAATAGCTACGGATCCAAATGGCTACAGAATAGCTACGAAATTGCTATGGAAATATATAGCTACGGAATTGCTACGGCTCACATTACCTACGGATTTTCCGTAGGTAATCCGTAGGTAATTACTTTTAATTTAAAATATAAAAAAACAGCAAAAATTTATAAAAAAATCCACTTTTTTTTGTTCAAAATATTGAAAAAAACTCATTACATTAAAGTAATAATAATATTGAAATTCAACCAAAAAACAAATAACATTACAATAAACCTAATAAACCTAAAAAAGTATCAAATACAAATACATATTACTAATGAACATTGTCTAATAATACATTAAATGTGTCTAATAATATACATTAAAAGTGTCAACTACAAATGTTTATTTAAATGCTTACATACATAAATTTGAGAATTATATGGTGGATTGCTTGGCAAATCACCGAGTAAGTTGAATCGATAAAGGCCGACAAGTGTTCTTCAATTTGGGTTTTGAATCATATTGTTCCTGTTTCAACACACCATAATCAATGATCACAAAAATACAAATATAGCAATGTACTTTCATTTATTTTTTTTAATATAGCCAATTAGGAACATTTTTGAAAGTACAACGTTATAAGTAAGACAAAATGAAAGTAAGATGTTTTAATAAACATGTATATCTTGCATTTAACTAGCTCAAAAGTAAAAACACGTTTCCTTCTAATAATCGACTCCTTCATCGTGTTGTTGAATCACTACAATAATTGACTCATTCATCATTTTGTCATCACTAGAAGTTGGCTACCAATACAATGATCCATAATCCATAATAAAGATAGAAATTAAAGCAAATATATGCATGCACCAAGATTTAATCATTTAAAAACCACTCACCACTCTAATATGCCATTCATGGCTACCAAAATCTTTGAAAGATGCTACATCTAGTTCCCAAAAATAACATATTTGTGTCAATTATTTATTAGTAGTAAAATAAAAGGAAAGTATGTTTAAAGAAATATGAACTTACAATGCAATACATGGTCCATTAACTGTTAAAATCATAACCTCACAATTCATCCCCAACTCCAAATCAGCCACCATTAGGCCCAAAATTTCAATTATCGAAAATTGAAAATTCAAAACTGAAGTGAAACCCGTAAAATAATGGCAAAATCAATGCAATCTGATAAAAATTGGAACAAAAACTAAAGGAAATATGAAAAAAAATTGTCTTTTTCACCTGCAAATCGATCTTGGAGAGCTACAATGGTGGTCTACTTGCTTCACTTGCAAATCGAGCCCGATGGGTGGAAATGTTAGATAAATCCCGATAAGGTCTTACAAGCTGTAAAATGGAAGGCAATTCTTAGAGAAACTATGAATGGTCTTGTAATGTTTGTAATCATGGAATAATTATGAAAAACAACATTATCTTTTGAACAATTCACAAGTACCAGACCTAAAAAGGCTATTATTCATTTACCTTGGATATTGGGTGTGCCATGAAGCCCAGTAGAGCTTAAATCCAGCTCCTCCAGGTCAGTGAGAAGTGATAATTATGTCCTGCGAAAGAAAAAAAAAAACACACACACACACACACATATATATATATATATATATATATATATATATATATATATATATATATATGTATATATATATATATAATGATAAACAACATTATCTTATGTTCATTAGTGTTTCTACATCATTATAAGTAGGTAGCCTTATTTAGAGTGTAATATCGGTCAAGCAAATACGCCAATTCTCTTTAAGAAACTGTGCACCAGGCATAGATACTAGGGTTTACCTTAGTTGGAGAAGAAATCGAGCAAAAGAGGTGACGAAGAAGGGATGAACGCGCCTAGATCAAAACAAAACCGAAATCGAAATGAATCCACAGTCAAAATAAACCCTAAATCAAAACAAAGCTAAATCGAAATTAATCCTAACCCAAAACGAAAACGTAAGTGGAACTAAACCAAAAAGAAACTTACTTGAAACGGTGATGACGATGATGATGGTGATGGTGGTGGTGGTGGTGGTGGTGGTGGTGATGATGATGATGATGATGATGATGGTGGTGGTGGTGGTGGTGATGATGATGATGATGATGATGATGATGATGATGGCGATGTTGGTGTTGATGGTGATGGTGGTGATGGTGGTGAAGGTGGTGATGAGGATGATGGTGGTGATGGGGATGATGGCGATGATGATGATGATGATGGTGGTGATGGTGATAATGGTGATGATGGTGGTGGTGATGATGATGATGATGGTGGTGGTGGTGGTGGTGGTGATGGTGGTGGTGGTGGTGGTGGTGGTGGTGGTGGTGATGATGATGATGATCGTGGTAGTGGTCGTGGTGGTGGTGGTGGTGGTGGTGATGATGATGATGATGCTGATGCTGATGATGATGGTGATGGTGGTGATGGGGATGATGGCGATGATGATGATGATGATGATGGTGATAATGGTGATGATGATGATGATGATGATGGTGGTGGTGATGATGATGATGATGGTGGTGGTGCTGGTGGTGCTGATGGTGATGATGGTGGTGATGGTGGTGATGGTGATGATGATCATCATCATCATGATGATGATCATCATCATCATGATGATGATGTAGGTATACGTGTTTGTGAGATGTATGTGAACGTATTCATAAGCATTATAGTGTTAAACCACTAAACGAGTAATGGATCCCGTATTTGCACACGACTTTATAAATGATATTAATAGCTATAAATTGGTGAAAATATAGATAATCATGTATAATAGAGGTGTGAAAAAAACGGAGCGAAAAAAATGACGTTTGCTGCCCGAAAAATCGAAAATAAGAAAAAATCTGTAGCTAATTAGCTACGGATTAGCTACCGAATTCTAACGGAAAACATATTCCGTAATTACCTACGGATTAGCTACGGAATATGCTTTCCGTTAGAATTCGGTAGCTAATCCGTAGCTAATTAGCTGCGGATTTTTCTTATTTTCGATTTTCGGGCAGCAAACGTCATTTTTTTCGCTCCGTTTTTTTCACACCTCTATTATACATGATTATCTATATTTTCACCAATTTATAGCTATTAATATCATTTATAAAGTCGTGTGCACATACGGGATTCATTGCTCGTTTAGTGGTTTATCACTATAATGCTTATGAATACGTTTACAAACATCTCACAAACACGTATACATACACATATACACGTACACATATACCACAACTCATTCATGTATATAAATATACATATACAAACATAATCCATCACAAATTGGTGAAAAGTATAGGCATTACAATGTTAAATTGTGAAACGAGTACTCATCCCGAAGGGGCACACGACTCTATGAACGATATTAAATATCTATAAGTTGGTGAAAATATAGATAATCATGTATAGTAGAGGTGTGAAAAAAACTAAGCGAAAAAACGACGTTTGGTGCCCGAAATATCGAAAATAAGAAAAATCCGTAGCTAATCCGTAGCTACTTAGCTACGGATTAGCTACTGAATTCTAACGGAAAGCATACGCCGTAGCTAATCCGTAGGTAATTAGTATCCATAGGTATTCTGTAGCCATTCCGTAGCTAATTAGCTACGGACTATGCAGTTATCGCGGTCAAAATTTCAATAGCGGTCACATGCCGCTATTTGAAATCGTGGTTATCGCGGTGGTATAGCGGTGATATAGCGGTTTTTTAATATTACATATAATTTATAATTTTATATCATTTTTATAAAGAATTTATATATTTGAGTATCAATACTATAAGTCTATATAGAATTAATATCATCAAACCAAAAAAGTCATATAAAAACATAACACAATATTCTATTATAGTAATATGGAAACTAGGTAGTGTCAAAGTGTCAAATAGAGTTTAATTGCATTGCACGGGTTCAATCTCGTATTAGTAGGCCGTGGTTGGTTTAAGGAGTTAAGTCCCAAGTTGTAGCCTCAAATGTCTGGGTTGTTTTTAGAAAAAGCATTAGTGGAGTCCGACCATAGCAGCTCAAGTCGTCGTGGGTACAGAAAGAGATGAGAAAGAGACTTGTCGGTAGATGTAGTTGCTTTGAATGCTTTTAATTATGGTAGTTGTTAGGGCTTTTTAAAATGAAAGTGTAGTGAGATCATTAAAAATAGTTTTTCATTGACAAAGTAACCAAATGGCCCAAAATGTGAGCGAAATTGAATAGCGCCTGTAGCGCCGCTATAGCGGTAATTGAAATAGCGGTAAATAGCGGTGAATAGCGCCGCTAATAGCGGAACCGCTAAATGAAAACGCTAAACTGAAAATAGCGGTTCTCGACCTCCACAAAACGCTATAGCGCCACTGTAGCACCGCTATAGCGCACAATTGATAGCTTAGGCTACGGAATAGCTACAGATTAGAATCTGTATGTAGGTATTCCGTAGCTATTATGTAACTAATTAGCTACGGAATAGCTACAGACTCCGTAGCTATTCCGTAGCTATTCCGTTACTAAACTAGGGCATCCCATTCTGTAGCAATTCCGTAGCTAATTAGCTACGGAAATTTTCCGTAGATATTTTCCGTAGGAAAACCCTGTGTTTTCTAGTAGTGTTTGTCCAACTTATATATCATTCATGTTTTTCTTTTTCCACAAAATTGTTATATTATCTAATTTGCAAAATGATTTTTTTCAATGTAAATAATGTTGAACAATTTGTGATTAATTTTCTCTTAATTTTAACCTTTTTTTTTATTTTTACTACACAGTACACATCACAACCATTACATGAATTACCGAAGAATAATGAGGATCGTAAATTCGTAATCCTTTTTGAACAAGAGTAAGTGCTTAACGAAAGTCATTGATCTTTTCATTTTTAGTAAGTTTAATTCCGACTGTTTAGCATCTAAATTTATATGGTGTTTTTTGTATGGTTTTAGTTATATAAGTGAAATTTTTCCTTGGTCAAATTATGCTCAACGTTTTATGTTATTCTACCATATTTTTCGAATTTAGTTCTGACTTCCACAATACTCGCAACAGATTTCTCTACTCTATAAATACCAATTTCAGTTTTTCATGTAATTACCAGTCACCTCATATCGCAACATGGGACATTGGCGTATAAAGATATCGCTTGTTGTTGCTATATCCATGACAATTCTACATTCATCTGTCGCCCACAACGAACCAGAAGACTTCCTTCATGCCCATGGTTGTATTAGAAGATTACTGGATATACCACCTCTGGTATGGGACCCTGAATTGGCAAAAACTGCGCAAGCTTGGGCTGACCAAAGGAAGGATTGTAAATTGACACCCTCTGACAAGGTTGGTGAGAATATGGCACAGGGGCCAAATCTTAATGCTTCATATGCAGTTCAGATGTGGGTTGAAGAGAGACCCGATTACGACCATGGTAAAAATGAGTGCTTACCGGGTACTCAGTGTGCCCATTATACGCAAGTGACATGGAAAAATACAGAACGCGTTGGATGTGGTAGGGCTCAATGTTCAGACGGTGTGTGCTACGTTATTGTTTGCAATTATGACCCTCCAGGGAACATTGTTGGCGAGAAACCCTACTAATTCTAACTCATTCCTTCTGTCATCTCATTTATCCTTTTGTAACCGGATTAATTTTGCAAAGGAAGCAACTCTCAGAGTCGGTGTCTAATAAGGTTTCTATGAGGCTATGAGTCAATGGGTACGTGGATAATAATCGGAGTTGATGTGATTGATACTTATGAGAGAAGAAGTACGTGATTAATAAATTGTTTTTATTTTGTATTTCATACAACAATCTTCTAGTATAGAATATCTCATTTACATATTTGTAACCATTAAATGTAGTTCAAGATTCAATTTTTGTACATCTAGAATATAGGTGGTGCTCAATAGTTTACCTGGTGGGCGCAGGGCGGGTTCGGCGTGGGCAGTCAAGAAATTACAGTTTACTATTTTTTTTTATATAAATGAATTTGAATTATAGTTTAGCGATATGAGATCCTTACCCAAGATGTTAATTCAATAAACATTTTGCTCCATGAAATGGTCTTTTATTTATAGTTATTGTTCCGAACTATTTGAGTTTCACTTTGACTTCCTCCAAACTCGCACCATTTAAGTCATTAATTTAATTCCAATAAACTTAAGGGGGGTTTGCTACCAAGAAATGTAATCAAACAAAAAGAATCCATTCCATTTCTTTTGTTTTTAAGGCTGAGAATTAAAAAATAATTAATAAATAAATCAATTCTTTTTCTATCCTTTTCATTCTTTATATTTTATTGAGAAAAGGTAATGGGAAATGAAAAATATTAGAACACGGAGAAATGAAAAAAACAAACACAGAGAATTAAATCAAAAAAATTATCGTTCTCATACTTCCAATAATGGTTTTATACGAAAATGTCTCGTTATTTTGGAATTTTTTTTTGATAAAATCATAAAAGTTTTTTTTAACAGAAACGTCCCATTATTTTAAGAAAATCACAAAATTTGTCATTTGTTGTTCAAATATAAAAAAGAACTTTTTCATTAATTTGGACAAATATGTTAAATAATCGGGACTTTCTGTTCAAAAACAAAATTTGAAAACTTTATTAAAAAATTTCCCAAAATAATAGATTTTTCTGCATTAATCCTCTTGCAATAATGTATGCTATCAGATGATATTGATGACATATGCTCTTCTGTATCGCCCAAGATTTCATACCACTTACATCCCAAAAATTTCATTGCTCATTAAAAAATTTACAATATTTATTTTGGTGTATATTGGCGAACTGACATACAAGAAGTTATCACACGGATCGTACTGGCCACAAGTACATGATCGAGCCGGATGTCACAATAATATACCTGCAAAATAAATCATCATAACAACATAAACCTCACGACTTAGTGAATAACAACTACTAAAACATAATCAAACAAATCATATAAATTACATAATATTTTATTTTATTAATTATGTAGTAATTAATCTATATCAATTAATGATATTCTCGTAATCAATTTCTCATTTATATGATCTCTCTTTCTCTCTCTCTCTCTCTCTCTCTATATATATATATATATATATATATATATATATATATATATATATATATATATAGGGCTAGGTTAATGTATTTCTTATATTTAATGTGTGCTAGAATGCACCAATAAGAATTTAGTAAAATTAAATAATTATTTAATTAAATAAATATAGATATTAAAGGATTTCCATAATTATATGTATATTAAATGATATCCATAATTATAATTTTCTTTTTATGGAAACTAATTAAATTCGTCATTAACGTCAGCAGTAACATTCTTTCAGAATGAATTCGCATCTACCTTTTTATATATGACTTCGTTTTTTGTTTCAGGACCCAATCACTTAAAATACAATAAAGTTGTATGGAATATGAAGAACGAGAGTGTATTCTACTAGAATACACTCTCATTCTTCTAGAAACGAATTCATTATGAAAAAATATTATTGTTGACATTAATGACGAATTTAATTAGTTTCCATAAAAAGGAATTATAAGTATGCATATCATTTAATATGCATATAATTTTTACTAAAATCTTATTGGTGCACTCTAGTACACAATAGTGTGAAAAACATTTGAACCTACCTCTCTCTCTCTCTCTGTATATATATATATATATATATATATATATATATATATATATATATATATATATATATATATATATATATATAGAGAGAGAGAGAGAGAGATATATGTTCAAATGTTTTTGACAACTATTATGTGCTTGTATGCACCAATGAGAATTCAGGAAATAATAAATCATTTAAGGGTATTATAGTAATCTTGGCATATTTAATTATGATAGATAATTAATATATTTATTATCCTTTTAAATATGGGATATCAAAGTCAAACCTTGTAGAAAAAACCCTACGCTTGAAAATCACAATTGCCGCCGATCCCTTCACTTACTTTCCATTCTCTCCGGCTTTCACCCAGATCACCGATCGACTTCGCCACCATCGTCGAACGCAACCACCGATCAACTCCGGCCACCATCGTCACGCCTGGTGATTTAATGTCCGAAAGAAGGTTTGGTTTTTAGTATACATAAGGTTTTTTATTCTCATTTTTTTTAGTTTTTGATGAAAGATTGAATCGATACGCCCACCATCGTCATTAAGCCGACCATTTTCGATGTTCTTAAACTCGATTTTTTTGATGTATAGTTGATTTCTATTTCTTCAAGCGAATGTATTTTGACTTCTAAATTGATGACCTTCCTACTGTTTTTTTACTGAAATTGTCTTTTTCTTTCTCCTTTTCCCATGATTTCATGAATCTTTCTCCTGTTTTCGGTGCAATTTCTGGTGTTGTGAAGGTGTTTGCTGTTTAATACAACTTGTTGAAGGTGTTTGAAATTGTATTTCAAGGTAAATCTAGGACAATTGGATAATGCACAGAAGGTGTTCGATAGAATGCATAAGATATGTTTCAAGCCAAATTCTTGGTAATTGACTAATTTCATAGTTAAAACATAGTTTCTAGTAATCTTAGACATAGATTCTGTCATATTCTATGTATTCTTCCATATTTTATGTATTCTATGTATTCTGTCATATTCTCTATATTATGCCATTTTCTGCGAGAATGTATTCTATCATATAACATGTTTTCTGTCAGAATTACTAGTAACATATATTTTATGTAATATTTATTCTCATAGAATGAACAGACCTTAGCTTTCATATAAGAACCTCAGTATAGAATAAAATGTGTGATAAATCATTAAAATTGACTCTTCCCACTCAATCGTTTTCGTTCCATAGTTGTTTAGGAAATCGAATGGATGAATATTTGAGTGTGTACACAAAATAGTTGATTATTTGACATTAAAAAGTAAATTGAGTGGTTGCATCTGATTTTATAGTTTTATTCTAATCAAATTTACATACAAAGGTTCAATATCTATCACATTCTATCAGAATGGTTATATTGTGTACTTAAGAATAAATTTCACTTCTTTATTGTCTACCATAGTCTATCAGAATTTATAGTTTTATTCTTTTATAATGCACATAATTTTGAATGCTCAAGGTGAATGTACAAAATGTTACTCTTACATATTCGATTTCATGACAAATTGTTCTTATACAATGCTAGATTTTAAGGAAGTAATTCTCAAAGAATGCGTGAAAGGAGCATGATGATCAAGTGCTTGAAGGTTGGATGATGGCATGTGGGATGAAGATTAACAATGGTCAATGATCTTCACAAAAGAAAGCATTGGCAGAATAATTTACAATATAATGATAAGACTATATGTTATAATATATCCTGGTAGAATATTCAGTTAGAATAATCTATAAATTGTGTTTATTTTGTTATTAGTGAGTGTTTCATTATGATAGAATAGTATATTAAGATTTTTATGTTTTAAGAATGTGACGACAAAAATTTAACTTATATCAAAAAATTTGTTAATCTTAGAAAGTTCATTCAATCAAAGAATGTTGTTATTTCGTTTGAAGAATGATATGATCTGATATTCTCGTAGAATATAACATTCTAATAAAATGTCATTCTGACAGAATAAATTCGGTTATTATAAAAGATACGTTAGAATTAATATTGAGTTACTTTAAAAAAATCAGATTTTTAAAAGTAGGAGAATTAATTATCCCTAAATTTCCGAAAATTTCTTTTTTTAAATATAGTTAATTGTCCAAAATACCCTTATGCAGAAGTTTGTGTGATTAAATTGATTATTTTTAATTAGTTAATAAATATAAAACCCTTACTTAAATTACCTCATATGATTGGCTCAGAATCAATTTCACAGGCACACACTACTTAGTAAAAACACAATAACCTAAGCTTATATATATATATATATATATATATATATATATATATATATATATATATATATATATATATATATATATATATATATATATATATATACTAGATGTGTACTCGCGCAAATCGGCAGCGATAAATAGATTTTTTTAGCGAATAGTTTCTTACGAGAAAATAATTATTAGATTTTATTATTAATATTATGTAATAAAAAATTACCACTTTCAAATAAAATATTTATGTTTATACATTATGTTTATATTGTCTGTTTATACTATTGATGCAAATTAGTTAAAATTTGTGTTTAGTTTAAGAAAACTTAAATTAAATTATATAGCAATCCGAAACCAAAGCAGAATCGAAGTCCAAGTGCTTTCCGAGATGTGAAGAGTTCCGAAGTCAAGCTTCTTCCGAGATGAAGACTTATCCGAGACATTCCTAGTTTTTGATGTTATAGAGTCCGTACAAGCATTTAATGCTCCTTGTCGTTTTTATTGATTGTACAGTTCATGGGACAAAATCGAGTAAATCGTGTGTGTCAGCTTTTCTGACTATTAGGTTACATTCTCCATGCAAGTCTTGTATTTTTTTCTTATTGTCTCTCCTTTCCTATTTATGGAGATGATTTATCCATGCATTGTAACCTAGAAGAAGCAATATTCTCTTCACATCAAATACTAAATATCTTGCAAGTCAAATCTCTTTCTCCATCGTTCTCCTTGTTCTTAAGTTGTCTTTACTTTGTTCATACTCATTTTACTTTACCTAAATACATTGTTAAATACTTTGTTGATCTTTATACCTCAAGACAAGACTGGTTTACCAGACTTGACTGTACCAAAATATTAGCAGCAGACATTGATCTTAAGTTAATTCAAGGTTTGAGTTTTCAAACCTTGTCTGTGCACTAAGTCTTGCACTTTCAATTACTTCCTGGTATATTCTAACCACTAAAGTACTCCGATTAGTACTAATTCGCTAACTTCACTTTGCTCATCCTTATTTCCAATGTTGCTCTTATAAATAAATATAGATATCTTATCTCTAATGTTGATGTTTTGAAACAGTATAGAGTTTGAAAAAATGATAAGAGCAGAGAAGTGACCACATTTGATTGTGACCACATTTGACTGGAAGGTGAGTTTTTACTTT